AAGGGGGGAGGGTACGAGAGGACGCTCTGACTCGCCCCCCGCGCCTTGCCACCTCGCGTCCCCCGCGGCTTTCTTACCCTTTGGAGGAACGGGGCTGGGGGCGCGAACTGCCCCGTCGCGGAACGGGAAGGGGGAAAGTCGCCCCTTGCGGCGCCGGCCGGGACAGCGCAGGACCCCCCCCGTGAACTCGGCCGCCCCCTCCCTCTAGAGGCGAACTGCGAGGGGTCTCGCTCCCAATTAATAAGAGCAGAGTTTAAAAAGAGCCCCCCCCTCGTTACTGCTGAAACGAAACCTTGGAAGAGAGACGCTTCGGGTAAAAAGCTCAGCATCTCCCGATTCAAAGGCTGAGTTCACGCAAGGTAACCCACGGGCTGAGCGGCACTTCGGCGAGCTCCCCCTGTAACCTTGGTTCACACAACTCCTTGAGCCACCGGGGGTTGCAAGAGAAACGCGCGCGCACAAAACCAGGTGGGATCATCACCCGCGCCCCTTTCCAAGAAGTCTGGGAAGAAGACCTGATTCTTCGTCCCAGGACTCAATCTGCAGGGTGAAATCCTTAGAAGAGTTTTCAGATTTGCTGCCTTCTCTCGATTGCCCCCGCGAAGCAGAAAAGGGGATGGAGAGAACCAAGGAAAAAGTCGTAAGGACATTAAGAGAGGAAAGAAATGAGAAAATAAACACCCCAACCTTTCTGAAACGACTCCTTTCCCATTCTTTCTTTCCTTCTCTGCAAAGACACTCCAACAACCCTAGTCTTGTATCCTTCCCCACTTTTCCAAAACGCTGCATGTCGAGGTTAGTGGGTTGCTGCGATCCGCCCCCCGCTTTTTAAATTTTTATACCCACCCAAAATCCAAGCTCCAGGGAGGGAGGTGGGGTAGAAGAAAAACAAAACAAAAAGAATTATTATCATTATTATTAATCTCAAGGGACAACAAGAGCAGAAAAAAAAAGGGGGGGCCTTGAGCATCACTCAGTAATGACACAGAGTGCGCAAGGCGGGTCCTTGTGATTTGTGGCGGGGGGGGAGCCTGCCCCTGCAGGCAAGTGGAAGATTTTTTGGGGGGAGAGAGATGCAAATGGAAGAAGTCGCAGGCAAGGCCTGTATTGCTGTCCTTGGTCTTCCAGGGAAAAAAGGATGAATCAGGCTGGCTGGTGTGGGTGAGAAAAGGAGCAGAGGAGGTGTTGGGCGGGGGGGGAGGAAGCCAGGAAGAGTCAAACGGGACCAGCCCGTAGTTCTGTACGACGCCATAGAGTGTCCCCCCCTCCAATTCAGTACTGATGATCCAGGAGGGGCTGCCCGGCGGCGGGACTGTCTTCCTCTTCTCGCGGCCGCCCCCATTCGGCTACCAGAGGGTCAGGCTCGAGGTGGGGATGGGGTCCTTGAGGGACAGCGGATGGCTCCAGAGGCAGGGGGCTGGGGGTGCTGGTCGTGGCCTCGGGGACTGGTCCTGGCACAGGAGGCTGCAGGAGAGAAGGAGAGAAGGCTGTGAATATCCAGACCGGGCGGGCAGGCGGGCAACGGGATGTTGAAATATGATCCAGAAAGAATGAAGATTGGTAGGAAAGGCTGGGATTACAGTGCCACTGTTCCTTCTTAAGTTAAACACAATTAACACACACACGCACACACTGCACCACAGATTGATTTTAAAAACCCTACTTTCCGAATTTGCATTTTTTTCTAATAGTATACTTCTAGGGTGGGGGAATAGCATCTAAAAAAGAAAACAGGGCTCCCAATATTGGGGGGGGGGAACAAGGAGATTGAAGCAGGGCTATGAAGAAAACAGGGGGCCTTAGGAAGGTGCTGGGGAAGGGACAAGGGGACTTTTCCAGATAGTTCAATAATCAGCGGGTGGAGATTAAGCCCTCCTGGCTGAGCATCCCCCCCATATTGTTCTGGACAAAAGGGAACCCAGCTTATTTTTTTTTTCCATTAGCATTAGTCATTTTGCAAAGCTGAGGATGGCACCAGGCTGAGAAGAAGCCCAATTATAAGAGATTCCGGGAGAAACTAAGACTCAGGTTTAGCAAATGCCAATGAAATGATGTTTGACTCCATAAAGAACAGCCACGTTCAAACGCCACCCCTGAGGCCTCCTTTCGCAAGGCACGAAAGAGCTGATTTCCTCAGTGGAGAACAGCCAATAAGCACAAACTGGGATTAAGGTTAACCATGGCTTGTTTCAAACAAGCCAACATCCAACCAGGCTGAGACAAACGGGGAAAGCCTCAGTCAAATGAAAAATGGAAGGTTTCTAGCTCTTTATGACAGCTGGATCCGTAAGCCCAGGAGGAAGAAAAGGGAAAAGGTCCTTTCTGGCGAAAGGACCATTTGGAACAGCTTTGATCTGCCCCCCATGGTTTGGCTCCTGCCCACTCCATCTGAAGGACACCAGGCTAAGGCTGCCCAAATGGCCATTCAGTGAAAAAGCTTTACCTCTTCTCAATGCTGTTCCCCAAACTTTTCTTTTTTAAATTCCCTGTTCTAAGGTCACTTGACTTGTGGGGTCATTTGCAATATTTTAACACTGATTCTGCAACAGAAGAAACCTAAGCAGTGTGCAATGAACCCCCCTCCCCCCAAATAAATAAAACACCTTAAAATGATCATTCCTAAATATCAAAACTTGTTAGTAAAAAAGAAGCCACTAACACAATAGAAAAGGATCTCATAATTCTCCTTTTGCGAGCAAAGTGTTCTGATGTCAGAGTTTAAGTTTCTAAATAACAGGGAGTAAGCGGGTGAGGCTGCAATGCTCTGGGTGGAAGAAACTAAGGAAAAAAATTGCCAGCTGTTTCCACGGGGGACTATTTTAAATTTTCCCCTCCAGCTTTTTACACAGTGGTACCCAAAGTGGCTAATACTGTGGGGAAAGGGCATAATCAAACACTGCTCGGCTTCCTCACCATGTTTGTGCCAGCTTGGGTGACAGACCAAGTGTCACACTGCACTCTGTGCACGTGTCCATGTAAAAAAGAGACAGGAGGAATCGTGCGAATGGGGGGAAATTACGTACCTGAGGTTTAGGGCTCCCTCCAGTGCCGACTGTCCCCAAGGCGGCAACAGCATCAGACATGACTGAAGAGTTGTCCTTTGCGTGTGGGGGGGGTGTTCCAGGCGGGAATTCGCTCTCACTGCCCCCTAACCCATTCAGTCCTTTGCGGCTTGGCAGGCTCCACTTGCCGCAGAGACCCTCGTAGACAAAGGGAGACAGAGTCCCGAGGCTCGGGCGGAGAGGCAGAGGGGTACGTCCCGTCCCCTCGGCCACAGAAGCCAAGGAGCTGGCGCAGGAAAGCTGGCTTCCCAGGAAATGTGGGCCCGGAGGCCAAGATCCAGCTGGGGTGGGGGGGGGACGTCCATCACTCTGGCTTAGCTGGGGCTGGACCAGCCAGCTCTGGCTTGGAGGAGGAAGGCTGGGATCGGATTCTGCAGGGAAGAACAAGGCAGTGCTGTCATGATGGTCTGGGGATAAAAGCCACAAGGGATGAGTCCCCTTGAGCATGTGCAGAGTCTTTCCCCTTGTGGCTTTATGACTGCAGAAGAAGAAGAAGGAAAAATGCTCTAGATCAGCGTTTCTCAACCTTGGCTGGGGAATTCTGGGAGTTGAAGTGCACCCAGCTTAAAGTTGCCAAGCTTGAGAAACACTGCTCTAGATCCAGGCATAGCTTTGTCCTGTGACCACAAGGTGTCCCGGGTTGCTAGAGCCAGCCTCCCCCAGCTCTCCCAGGTATGAAACAAGTGTGCCTCTGAGCATATGCAGCGTGCTCTCCCTTCCCCACCGCACCAGCACAGCTTCCACTTAACTAGGATTAGCAGGGGCAGGATTTTCTAAAGCAGAGGCCGGCATGCATTTGGAAAGATCCAGCCCGTCCCGGCTGCTCCCCCCTGCCACGTTTTGATCCCCCGTTCTGCTCCTGAAGTTTGCCACCCAACGATGACTGAGCGTGACCTGGGTGACCCACGAGCAGGAGGAAGTGACGGCGGTCTCTCCTGGTCTTGCAGAGCCTGGCTCGATGCGCCGTTTCCTCTTGTAAGGGCGAGATGGCGTATTTTTCTTTCCATGCAAACAAGGGCTGGGGGAGACCGACACATTTCCGCTGGAAACCGGTTCAGAAGACTGGGGGTTTGGCCCTTGCAAATGAATTCCAGCATCTTGCAAAGCCAACGCTCCGGGTCAGAAGTGTCAGCTTCATCAGTCCTGGTAGGCAGGTGTCCGTAGGATCCCCGGCCAGAAAAAATGGCATTCTGTACATGTTCAGTGTTTCTCTGTTGTAATGTTAGAATGTGGGATTATCCGGGAAGCAGGGTAGAAATGTAAATAAATTAAAAATGGGAGGGTTTCTTCATGCATAACTTCTGCAAAACTCACTGCCATAAGCTGTAGTGATCATAGACTCACAGAGTGGGAAAGGGTCTCAGAGGTCATCTAGTCTAGCCCCCCTTCCCTCTAGGATTTGCCAAAGCGTGTTGGACAAGATGCTTACTAAGATATACAAGGAAAAACTTCCTGAGGGTATAATTTGTACAACCATCGAATAGTCTACCTACATAGGTTGTGAGTTCTCCATCTCTGGGGGTTTTAAAGAAGAGACTGAACAGCCCCCTCTCATGAACGGTTTAAGTTGCTGTTCTTGTACACCACAAAGGGTTCGACTAGATGATCCTTGGGGTCCCTTCCAGCCCCACCATGCTAAATTCTAAGGGGTGTACTGAAGTTTGTGCATTGCACATGGGCAGGTGAATGCTCTCTGGATGGACTTTAATCCAGCCCAACTCCGTTTAATTCTGGAGCGAGGCCTCCCAACCACTACCATCCAGACGTGCTGAACTACATGCCCCATCATTCCTGTCCTAACATTAGAAGTTGGAGTTCCGTTAGATGGAGGGGCAATACACCTCTGCCTGGTTTGTTTTGGGGTTCTGAGTGCGGTGAAACCCTACAACTGGGCTTGCATAAACTAGCATTTCTTCCATTTTGATCAATCCTGGCTTGAGAGGGGAATTTGAAACTTGATTTGGTCCTCAACATACTTGGCTGGATTGCAGTAAGGGAGAGGCATATCCAGAGGGTGGAGGGTGAAGTGTTGGTCAAAGAGTGGGGAGGCTCCCATTCAGGTCCCCCTTTTCATCTGGATTCTCCCCAGCTTTTACCTGGGAGGAATAAAGAAAAATATGGAAAAGTACAGGTTATTTAGACAGCCTGGGGAAAACTGTCTCCCTGTTTGGAAACCAACTAGTTGGGCTTATGAAGTCCGCTTGATCGTGTTCTCTGATAAAATCAGATCATGGATTGACAGTTTCTCAACCTTGGCAACTTGAAGATGTCTGGACTTCAACCCCCAATATGCTGGCTGGGGAATTCTGGGGGTTGAGGTCCAGACATCTTCAAGTTGCCAAGGTTGAGAAACACTGGACTAGTGAGTCAGTTTGTACTGATTTCTATTAACTTATTCAGTTAGGGCCCTGATCTAGAAACCGTGGCTGGTTTAGGAAGCCAAACAAGGTTAGTCCTGGCTGCTGCTAGTTGTGGGCCCATCCGGAAAATCCAAGGCTATAGGTTACACCGGAAAGGCGAAAAAACAACCTGGAACAAGGTGGTAGAAATTACGTCCATGTTGCTAGCAAAACCTATGTTTTACATCAGTAAAGTCATGGGGAGCCCGGCTTAACTATAGTTAGTTACGCTGGTCACCGCAAGTAGCTTCTCCTACTGGCTGATCTCAAAGTGAGCTAAGTAAAATTGGATCTAGTTGGTACTTAAATGGGGGGGGAAAACCCACCAGAAAATCTAGAGCTAAGCAGAGTTGGTTCTCTTTGGATGGGAGAACACTAGGAAACCCCTGGGCTGGGGGCTAGGCTTGGAAGTCTTGGAAGAAAGCTTCAGTATTGCTGACAAGAAAACTATGTGGCTATATCCACAAAATTACCAGGAGTTGAGTTCAGTTCAAAAAAGACTTTACCTGCTCTGTATCTGTACTTTGAGGAAAACACCAAAGACGGTCAATAATTAAATTAATATCCATTCAGGCTGCAAGGCAACAGGGAGAGAATGATTCAGTCCTTCCAGAAATCCTGAAGGCAGCCTTGAGATTTATAACGTGGAGGAGGCTTCTGTTCTTCAGCAATACTCTTTAAGTTACTAGATTTTTGGGTTCATAAAATCCAGCGTGGCCTTCATTTTCCAGCCTTCGCTCACTGTAAAACGGGAATCTTACAAGCTTGCCTCCTTAGATTCACACTAAGCAATTGTTCTGCAGTGATTTGAGACATCAGACTTCTCGGACACTTGCAGAACCTGATTTTTAAAACATGGTTTACCCAATCTTCTCCTTCCTGTACAGAAGAATTGGCCCCAGGTTGGTTGAGCATGGGGATTTGAACCTGGAGCGTTCTAATCCTTGGGTAATTGTGACGTCACACTTGGAAGAAACTAAGAAATGCTTGTGGGGGGAGCAGTTACAGTTACACAATTCAGCCTTTCCTACAATCAGGGTCTAATATGAACTAGGGTTGAACGGCTTAAACCCTGTTTCTCTGGCAGTTTTGAGCCATGCCAAGGGTGGCTTGTTATAAATGGCCATTCCCGTGGTTTGTGCACAAACACAGGTTTCTTCCCACACTTCCGATCCAGCAGGTTTTCCAGAGTCTGAGAAGCACGGCAGAAAAACCTGCCAAACCTGTTTATCGGAAGTGAAAATGGGATGGGAGTAAGGTTGTTTTCAGAGGCAACTACAGGCGTTCTCTACTACAGATTTCTTTTTCAGCCCTTGCAGATCGGTTGGACCTCATCTCCCATCATGCTGGTTGGGAATTATGGGAGTTAAAGTCTAGCCCAGCCTGAAAAAAACAGAGTGAAGATTAGATGTCCAGAGGTCTTAAGTAAAAACTAATGTTTTAACTAAATTTGGCACATATCCCTTCCCAAATCGACAAGGCAGAGTTCTTGATGCTTGATACCCCAAACATGCCTACCCTTTGCGTAGCCCAGAGCCAAGAGATACATACATCACTGTGCACTTGTGCACTGATGTTCAAAGAGATCCCTATCGGAAACGCACATGCTCAAAACAGCTCACGGTGCTTCCAGTTCATGCTCACCCGTCCTTTGTCTCTTTTCTTGCACGTACCCCTGCAATATGTGCAAAGCAACCTGGATTAGGGGCTGTGCTTCCACCTGCCACAAAATGCTGTCGCTGATTTCATTCTGCAGTGGAAATGCACACATGCTGTGGTTTGAACTCGCCTTCTCTAAATTCACATCGTTCCAAATATGTTGGGCTCCTAGTATGAACTTGGCACTTCTTGTTACAGACGTTGTAGGAAGAAAGCCTTGTGAGTCTACGGTGGGGGAAACTCAGAAGTCTAGTAAGTGCCTTTTTTAACGATAACGTCTGTTGGTCAGGAGACATTGGTTTTTGGTGAAATGTGCTGCGGTTCACGAAAGCTGATGCCTTTTAAGCAAATGGTCAGAAAAACATTACCAGGCTCCTGATTCCTAGCATGAAGTGAATTTGAAGCCATTCAACATTTTCATTCATTCATCCATCCATTCATTCTCTGCTGCTGCTGGTACTGTTTCAAAAAAGGAAGGTTCAGGTGGGGCTCTCTGTCACTCTCTCTCTCACACACACAGACACACACCCAACTTATGCACAACTTCTACAGCTGAAGGGTGAGTGGCTTCCTTACACCTGCTGTTCCTCCTGACCAAGCATTCCAACTCCTAGATCCTCTGGGGTAGCCCCCAAGGTGTGAAAGAGAAAATCTTGATATGCTAATTGGGTGGTGGTCACTCTAGAAGCCCTAATGTGTTATGTCACAAGAGTTGTTGGAAGTGGAATTCCCAGGAGGAACATTAAGGCTGTGTAGGTGTCAGGAACGTGGGTGAGGATTAGTGAGAGGGAAGTTGGAGTATTTCTGTGGTTATGTTTGCTTAAGCTCAAAGACTTCGCTTGGGAATAGAGAGCCAGTTTGGTCTAGTGGTGACGGCACCAGGCTAGAAAGCAGGAGACGTTGAGTTCAAGTCCTGCCTTAGGCAGAAAGCTGGCTGGGTGACTTTGGGCCAGTCCTTCTCTCTCAGCCCAACCCACCTCACAGGGTTGTTGTTGTGGGGAAAATAGGAGGAGGAAGGAGTATTAGGTGTGTTCGCCACTTTGTGTTATTTATAAAAATAACGAAGGCAGAGTAAAAAAAATCTAAAAAAGAAAGAGCAGAGTTTGGTGCTACTAAAGAGAGAGAATGTCTCTTTTGTCAAACTTGACTTTTTTTGATTGCATGGCCATGTCTGTGTTGTTTTCCTGAAAACAATACCAAAAAAATATATATATTTTTTTCTGCTTAGATTTTTTTAGATTCTAGGCTAATGTTTCTCAACTTGGCAACTTTAAGATGTGTGGACTTCAATTCCCACTATTCCCTAGGCAGCATGCTGGCTGGGGAATTCTGGGAGTTGAAGTCCACATGTCTTAAAGTTGAGAAACCACGGAAGGTTAGACAAGGTTGTTCAGGAACGGCAGATTTCCCAGCCTGAGTCTTTCCAGATGGGTCAGACTTCAACTCCCATCATGCTGGTTGGGAATTAGAGGAGTTAAAGTCCGATGCAACTGGAAGGCCTTCAGTTTAGGAAGTCGTGCAAGTCTGTGTATCTGCATACCGCTACTAGAGAAAGATGAATCATTTATTCTCTACTTTCCTTGAAAATTTGGCAATGGTCATTTTCACGTCACTCAAAATTCCCCAAGAGGAACTGTTTTTCCCAGATGTTGCTGAAGGTCTGCTCTTGAAGGGTGTTGTTCAACCACATCTGGAGGACCAGTGTTCCCCTACTCCTATTCCCTGCACGCACACATATACAATAATGATGCTCAAAGGAAGAATAGCCAGCAATCTCTTTATGATTGGGTGGACTGCTGTGATGTCACAGAAGGGTCTAACAATGAACTGCTGTGATGTCACAGAAGAGTCTAACCAACCGGGCACGCTGCCAGCCCAACCGAAGGGCCTCGCCTCTTTCTCATTAGAAAGAAGCTTAGTGAAAAACCTAACAGCGCTTCGTTGGAACTAGGAACCTGGTAAATGATTTTTCTTAGCCAGAATCTTAAAAAAGACTCCATGCAAGGTCGCTCCAATATTAAGGAAAGTTGCTTTGTTGTGCTTTTACAATGCTGTTAGGTAACACTGAAACATTTATTAGCAGTGGAAACGGACGGCACGCGGGGATGAAGCAATAGCTGTTTGCAGTGTTGGCCGTCTCCAATTAGAAACCCTCCGTAAGGCTTGGAAATGCCTCTCCCAGAATACCCCAGCCTGGCTGGGGGATTCTGGGAGAGGCGTTTCCAATCGCAGCCAGCCCACCTGGGGTTTGGGAAGACCGGCCACAAAGGCCATGGATCCACTTGTAAAAGGAGTCATATTTGGCAGGGGGCTGGGCAGCCATGTACGTGGAATCAGATGGAAAAAGAAAGCAATTCTTCAGTGTGGGGGCCAGGCTATCGTTCCTAGATTTGAATGCGCTGACCTCCGGTTCACACTGGCACATCTACCCCGCACAGACACCCACTTTGCTCCTCCTCCTGTTTGCTGCCCAGAGCTGGCAAGCACAGGAAACCCGGGATGGGGGGGTGGGGAGCCCAGCAGCACAGTAGCCGTATCCCCTCCCTTCCTCTCCCCCCCTTTCCGCTTTCTCATCTCGCCACGGGGATCCAGTTTCGCCAGTTGCTTCCTTCCTTATTGCTGGTTTCATTGACGGTTGCAACATGAGGCCAGCTTTTTTGCCTTCCAGCAAACCGAGCGGCGGGGGGGGATCGCTTGC